ATAAAGTTTTCCAAGTAAACATAACAATGACACCTTCTGTAACTATCTGAATCAGGTTTATCAGCCCTTCATTCGAATGAATACCTAGATGCGATCTTTTTGGAAACTTTAAACAATTATTGAAAAGGCATTTTGATCGAGGTTATAGAATAGCTTGGTAAAAAGTGTTGCATATCTTTTACGTTTTAAATTTTTTTACGATAATTACCTATTATTTAACACCCAAGAAATCCAGTACAACAAATCAATGTAGAATAGATAACTTTTAATCTTTGTTTTCCAAAAATTTTACTTGCATTTTATGAATTTTTTGACAATTTTCAATATTTATGTAATTTTTCGCATTATATTAAAATTTGGAACGTGAAATTTGAAATTTTTACACCTCTCATAATGAGAAAAAAGTTTCCACAGTTAGCTTGACAATAGTGTTCTGAATTTCGGCGTAACCTCGAGCACTAGCTCTCAGTGTAATTTTGTTGAAGCCAGTAAGACAATTATGACTTCATTACATTAATAAGACTTTGTTTCTTATGGAGATATGCATATATATAACCCCAGGCCTTTCAAAATTACAACTGATATTTTCTTTATTTTGCGACTATATAGTTCTATGATTAAATTCTGGCATTATCAATTACTTTTAACGTAAACTTTGTACCATTTTCTAAATTTTGATAATTTCTGAAAAATCCCATTTCTTTTGCTTGCACTAGTAGAAGAGAAAAGAATTAGTAAATACTTTTGGTGAGGAAGAAAATATTAAACATTACGTTATGGGTTCAAAGCAAACAAAAGGGAACCCACATATTCAACAACGAGCTTTACATGAATACTTGACTTTTTAGCAGGGAATTGATACTGATACCACAAAATTTTTTGTCGGTTTTCACAAATAAGCTAGCAAAAAGATGCAGTGACTTATTTTACAAGAATTTGACGTGAAACAGGGTTATAATGCCAAAATGGGGGGGGGGGTGGAGCTAAGTAGACTCTTTGCAACCAAGACATACTTCTTGCTATTGTCATTACATTACATGCTTTTAGCTAAGTCCAGGTTCTTTTTTCACCTAGCACCACTACACTAGCCTCTGCTCCAGACCCCTGGGTCGAAAGTAGAATTCTGTGTTCAAGTTAGGGGTTACTATTTTTCTACACTTTTCTACTTTACCAGGCCCCTGAAAATTCCATTCCCCCTCCTCCCCCGAATCATTGTTGGATTTGTAGTTCTATAATTTCTCCTTCAAAATAATGCACCCAACATTGAATTGGGAAGGGGAGAAAGCTATTTTTCAAAGGAAAAAGAAAATACCAATTTCCCTTTAAAAGTCTCAATCATTTTTGTCCGGAATTGTAGGTATCAAGGTGCCAGGGGATAATCTCAATTTTTTATAGTTTCCCTTACCAGATGCTACTGAATGAAAAATCTTTTTGAAAAAATTAAAATAGACTTTCATCTATGAATTTTTTGGCCATCTTAAATAATTTTATCTTGGTGCTTAGTCAAAAAGATTCTAAATGGATTTTTAAAATTCAAATGGTTTTTTCAATCAATTTCCTCTTTTATCATGAAATGCTTCAAAATGAAAACCTCCCCTCCCCCCACTTTGAATTCGTTGTCTATATCATTATTACTCTTATCCTTCCATTGATAAAAACTTTAACGTTATGTCTGAATAATGTTATGATGTTAACTGTATAATATGAAATAATGCAATGATAGGAACTGAAAAAAGGTTTTAACTCATATAATTGATTATCGTTGGAAAGTTTAAACGAACTGTGAAACTGGTTTTTAGCCATTTTGGGAAGATACTTATCGGCTCTTTCTCGGGCACGGTAAAGCAGGGGAGCTGGAGGATTTAGCCACCCCCAACCTTTCGCAAAAAATGCAAAACATTAAGAAATGAACCAGCAGAAAGCTTTACTCGGTTTTAGCCCCCACTTTTTTAAACGCCCGCGGTGACCGCTCTTCTTTTCACTACACGAGAAATCTCTTTGTGGCTCCGGAGGCAATGTCCTTCTCTATATCAGTAACCTCATCTATTGTTGTTCCTTTTAGCTATTGGTGAAACAATGGCTCTTTTTCTGCCACTTTTTATAACACTAGTTCACGCTTGTGTTCCTATTAGCATTCACTTGTTTGGTTACAACGTGCCTCGTGCATGTCTTCATTGGAATTCCTCTTTAGGCCGCTGCCTTGTGATATTTATATACACCAATCATGATTTCCCTCTAAAGTTTGGTTGGCTTGACCTGATAACCATTATATTCAATTATATAGATCCAGGCTGTCCAAAAATATTCGGTTGACGTGACCCAATGACAGTGGCTGAGCCTGCATTACAGAATCTTCCAAAGGTTTTAGCGCTCTTACTTTTAATTGAAAGGCTCAAAGGAACATCATTGTAAGTATAAGATATTGCTGAACGGCTTTAATTAAGGTTTAACCTCGGCAAAGCATCTATTTTTATGTTAGAAGGATTCGAGAAGCAGAGATTCACAGGCAAACATCAAGGCTCAACCACATCCTTCGCAACCAGAGTCCCAATTGTTCTTCAGGCCTATGCTGATCTTTTGAGACTTTGCCCTACGCTGCCAAGCTTTTTTGATACAGTCACTGAGATCTTGATAATCACAGGTGATTATCAAATGAGCAAAATGTAAACGAGACGTGAATAACCTTTTAAGGCAGGCTAGCAATTGAATCTGCCTGGGATTAACTGAGACCACCCGTCTCATGTTAAGCATCGACAAGCAACTACGAGCTTGAATTCAGGGCTCAGCGATAACTAATTTGTCAAATAATTGAAGGCGTCTTCAAACTTTGTCAATTGGTGACTCTTTTAAGATGAGCCCTCATTCAATGACGGAAATTAAGCTGTTTATTGATAGATGGGACAACTCCAATAAAGTTTCCTAAATGCCTGTTTGAGTGACCCTTTCTTTATATCTTAATGAAAATGTTTTTTCTAGTCGCACCTAACTTGGGGAACCAATTATTTTCGTCATCTAGCTATTTGTCAAGAAACTTAACTTTACAATTAGCATTCTATATGATATCCACCAGCTAAAAAAATAGTATGCTCCCCCCCCCACCCTCTGCTTAAGTCCTTGATAAAGTTAACAATTATTTTGTCTAAAAGTTTTGAAATACTTCACAGTGGTTTGCAACATTTTTGAGTTTCTTCAGAAGCGAGGTTTTGAGACCAGTTCACAAAGGCTAAAGGCCTAAGCCCCCCCCCCAAGGCTTTTCCAGGAGACACGTATTTAAATATTGGTGTAGTTTTGAATAGGCTATACCTGTATTTGGAAATTAATGGAATTGATTAATTTCAATAGTTACTGATCAAATATTGAACTGCTGAAGAAACACTTTCTTTCCAAGAGTTATATTTTAAAATGCAATATTTTTGGCTTTAACAACATCTCCCAGCCATCACGTGGAAAGTTTGGATGCTAAGGCACCCTGTCCAAAATACTCTTACTTTGATGCATTCTCTTTTATTGTATGCAAAATACGGCTTCCCTACCCTATTACCCCCGTTATAGGTGCACTTGATATCTGGATACAGCGCATGCGCTCATATCCGGATACAGACGCAGTGCGCTTATAAGTGGATCTTAATCTTACGGTTTTTGTGAAAAATAATAAAAAAACAAAAAAGATCTGGCTATCAATTTTGACATCGTTTACATGCTTCCTAGATTACGTTTCTTACATAATCAATTTCTTTAAATTGTTCTTTGAGTATCAACTGACATGATGACGAAGACAACCTTGATGAAGAACAGCTGAATAAGAAACTAATGATCATTGAAAATGACTCGGATCTTGAGAGAGATGTTATTAAACAACTGTTAAAAACCAATTTCAATTGTTGAAATATTACTTATGCAATTTTACTGTTTAAAATTTTCTTTTTATGCATAGATACATGGACCTGTCTCTGGGCCGTTTTTTGTTCCTTGAAATGCAAAATCGTGAAAACCAATAGAAAACCAATTTCTATTTTTGAAATATTACTTATGCAATTTTACTGTTTAAAATTTTCTTTTTATGCATAGACACATGGACCTGTCTCTAGGCCGTTTTTTGTTCCTTCAAATGCAAAATCGTGAATTTCCAATTATAAGCCAATTATAATCCCACACCACGAATTTGAAAAGTGGAGGGCCAAGGCTAACAAAAGTAGGGGGGGGGGCTAAGGTTTATTTCCACTTTTATTGCAGCTTTAAACTACTTGTTTTGCAATGTCTTGGGCAACTTTTCACGGTGGCGCTGGCTTTGTGTCCTGGGCAACTTTTCATGAACATTCTTCCTCAAGTTTTTCCTTTCTTATTTTTTCGACGATAGTTGTATTTAAGTAAATAAATATTTTATATAGACCTTGTAAGTTGCTAAATGATTTGATTTGAATTTAAAATTTGCAAGGACCCCTTAACATCGTCAGCTTATTGAGTTGACTAAAGGTTTCCCTAATTTTTTTATGCTCTGGTCCATGGAGCAATCACAAACTCTAAGCTTATTTTATATTTGAAAATTACATACATCCTTTATAGCTTATTGGGGACAAATCTTCAACTAGGGGGGGATTTTAAATAGAAAAATTAGAAACGAGAGCTGCTAATTGTTAAGGAGTGGCAGACATATTTAGTTAGTACGGGCATGAAGAATGCAGTTTACGCTCGCCAGTTGCCAAATATCTAATGCGAACCTTCCCTCAAAGACATCATAGCACAGACAGGCGACAGAAGGAATTGCCAAATATTAATGCAATCATGAATAAAACGTGACGGTTCGTCAGTTGAGAGTTTTCTTGATAATGATCTTGTAGGCTCTGCCATCACTCTCTCGGCTGTTTTACATACAAAAGCGACCAGAAGACGGTTCTGTTAATGAGAGGCCTGGATCGAGTGATTCAACTTAATAGTTCATTATGCTAATTATCATATAATTGATCACGAATTTATTGCAATGTTTGAAATCAACGTAAATTGTGTGGCGAGACTCTTGGCGACAGCCGCTGGACAAAACCTTGGGTAGGAATTTAACCCCAATTTCAGGAGAAGAATGAGTCACTCCTCTTAGATGTACAAATCATGAAATCCCAAGGTTTGCTTAACCCGAGTTTACATTATTTCGTAACATTGAAAGAGGATTCACACCTCAAAGTCCAGTGATTCGGTAGTGGCGGCCTAAATTTGTTCTCGGATTAGGAAGTCTGATATTCAAAACATAATTACGATCGATTAAAATGTCTTGATGAATTCGAAGATCTGCCCGCACATATATAATTAAATCCAGTCGCCAAAGGCAAAGCGAACGTAATAATAATTCAACAGTATATTGAATGCACTCATTCAGTCATAATGTGATGAAGAGACCAATTTCAGATATCTTCTTTGTCTCAAGCCAAATTGTCGGAACACAGAATAATCAGATATCGAATGACGCCAAGGCTAGCGTTGGATTCAATGATAAATGATACCCTTTAGACTTACAAATGACCGCATTATTGGATCAGCGATTGTTCTCCGTATAATATACTAGACTGATGACGGGATCATATCTGTAAATGTTTGTCTGCCCCACTGAACACGAAATTTCACATCCAAATGCTCAGCCCTTATCGTATACGATTATTGATCAAATTGAAAAATTCTCAAAGCCATCGCTCCTTGATTATCAGAGTTATCTACAACAGATTTGCGACGCGTACGAATGTTTGGAACAATTTATCTCTGCCGTTTTGAGTTTCATCAGATCTACGCTACTTTGTGGTCGATCAATTATGCCGCACCGGCTCGGTCTAGTGCGCCTGTTCAAATTATAAACGATAATCAAGGTTTTATGCTTTTGCACAATATTATCAACATATCAAAATTACGCGAGCGTGGGTCGGAGTCAGCGTCGTGAAAACATTTTCTCCCGATCTACTTAGTCTAGCGACCTGAGGCATAAAGAAGGGGTAGAGTAAAGGCATTGCGAAAGCCCCACTTACCAGGCACAATGATGGACACACATTCAGATGATGATGATATCGTGAAGGTGGAAATGCAGGATGTATACCCCACCTCAAGGCAGCAACCGGAACTTCATGCCCACAACGATCATTCTTCCATTTCTTCCTCAGGACGCCTTGCAATGGATGCATCTCGGGGTAGCCATTATGATCATGTGAGCAATCTTAATGATCAGAGCCCTATTTCGGTTGAGCAACGTGCAGCTGCCATTATGGACCGCATCAAACAGGTAAGGGCCATTTTCGCCCCCTGTTGTATTTATTTTCTTGCTCGTGATATTTCGTGATAGTTTTTTAAACAGGGGAAATAAAGCTTGGTCGATTGGCCCAAAATGGCCTATCCCTCTACAACAGTGTTTAACAGTACTGCTTTCCATTAAAAATTTTTTTGCACCATTTAGGAAATTAGGTGTTAAATGCACTAAGTTACTGTTAAACTTTCCAAATTGTTGATGTTGCTTCTAAAGTTTGCGGGTTTTGTCTCAATATCCATGCATTCTCTCTATCAGAGAGATTTTGCAAATGCTTGCCATGCTGAAAATCAATATTTTACTGAATCACACCGTTAGTGGAATATATAGATAGATAGCTGTATGCATATGCCTGAGGCGGCTATCACACTGATGTTTGCAGGCAATAAATGAATTCCAAAGTTACCCACATTTGTGCTGCACAGTTTATCACCCTCTCTACATTACAAACATTATTCGCGAACTAAAGGAGGCATTTTGCAGACTCTGTTTTCAATAGTCAGCGTTCTGCCTGCTGTTGTTTCTAACAATTTGGATCACTTTTGAGGCCCGATATCTACGTAGCCATGGTATGTATACATACCACGATCGCGGTATGTATTAGAACAAGCATTTCTACTTCTGCTGTGTAATAATTATACCGGTTGTAGTGATAATGCTTTCCCGTGGGTCTAAATGCGTAATCCGATATGATGCCGCCTTTCATTATGCCATGAATGCTTTGCTTAGGCTAACTGGCATCAGATATACAGCAATAAAGTGATGTTACTAAGGCAGCCACGATCTAGTCAGCCGAAAACACAGTTTAACTAACGTTTACTTGCGAGATCATCGTCACGTAAGATGCCATTGACTTTGGGCTTAAACTAGAACAAGCCGATGTGTTTTTGCTGTAATGTTTCGAAAAAACTAGTGAAATTATTGCTGCAGTGACACAAAGCCAAAGCGATGAAATTTAAAAAATAGCAAATTGCTTTTGATTTATTGCAACTTCAGACTACTGGAGGCATGCCTGCTCTACCTGGAGTACTGAACTCGAATTACAACTCACAATTATTAGCTGATTTCAACTTGCAATTCAACAGTAAAATAGGGCTTCAAATCTGCGTGGAGAGTGAAGTGAAGTCCTAGTAATGAAATTCCTTGGGTTTGATAGTTGCATGTTCAACGGTATGTTTCCCAATGCAAAAGATATGCCTCCTTGCATCTTTGATTTGCATGGAACCACTCCAATTTAAGAGAAAACTCTACCTTTTGTCCGAGAATATAAACAAAAGATTTACTAATAGTGACTATTATTTTTATAACTTGCTGTTAAATTGATAGAGTATTCTCGATATTTTCCTGCTATTTATAATTTTCTGGTATGACCACTTTTGTCTCTTATTGTCGCGCCACAAAATCCCAAGTAGTTCATTTTTTCCATGGCATCTTCATACCTGGCTACCAAGTATAATCAGCTACGTATTTCTAAACTGAGGTTTTTGCAACTGCTCTTTGACAAATCATAGATACTCGCTACCAAATTAGGCTTTTCTCCTATGAAGTATATGGTTTTATTTCATCAAATACCACTGACTTTGAGAGGTATGACGTTTTAGCGTGTGGACTGACGTTGCTTTTGGTTTTTCGCCCTTTTTGGACGGGCATCTATAGAAACACTTGAATTCGTTTCTTTGTGTTCTATAACTTGAGATTGACTTCAATTTATGATAAAGCGCCTAAAAGAAGCACGGAAAAAATTTCATATTTTGACAATATTCCATATATATGATAAATGTTTAGCAGATATGATAAATATTCAGTGTAAAGAATGAATATTCACGGAATAAGTATAACAAATTCAATATATAATTAATAATTATTTCATATTAATTCTATTTTATAAAAAATGGATAGTCTGTCAAAGTTTATATTTTAAGTCATCAACTAAATCTTAGTCTTTTCTTGTTTACAATATTCCTGACAATGGAAAGGTGACTAAAATAGGCATATCAAAACTTGTTTTAGAAGTAATGGAAGATATGAAGGTCTTACGAGCATTTTATCAGAAAAGATCATTGATTCTCATTCTTTTTTATCATAGTGTTTGGTAGGGTACAAATAAAATAATGTATAGATTCTGGCCATATTAAGAGCTTGTTGTTTAGTATTGCCTGCTTCCATTACTATATATACAATACGTTTACGGAAAAGAACATACAACTGGCGATTTGGATAATATTATTTCAGTACTTGCTAAAGGGGAATAGTAATGCTTTCTGATATTTCCGATTTTATTTTCTAAAATCTTTGCTTCGTCTAACAAGCACACAATATATTCATAAACATTCAGCTTTCTTCTAAGTTGTCCTTTTATCGTGTCTTTAATAGATTCTGGACTGTCATTTTAGCTTGGATCAAAATATATGACTCTGTGACTTCCTGACGATTTAATTCCGCTACTAACCCACTATAAATCATTCCTAACTTTACAATGTTTGATAAAAACGGGACTCTTTAGAACCATCAAGTTGATGAAAGTATGAAAAATTTAGAATAAATGCTTATGTATAAAAATTATAGAATAAAAGTTTGTGTATTTTGATCAATGAAATTGAAATCTTCCTGCAAATATTACGTTGTCTTTGCGTTTCAGCTGATAAAGATAAGCAAAGAAACACAATCTTTAGCTTCTCTCCCCATTCTTTCCGTCGAATTTTGTTACGTTTAACACAAACAGTGCCCAGTGTTATTTTTAGTTCTCCTTTTTTGTTTAAAGCAGAGAAGCCGCTAAAACTTACACATTGTTTATCACAAAGTCTCACTCCCAAGATATTGTTTACAAACAGAGATCCAATTGCCGAAAACATTTGATAAAGTAGAGCGTGTTGTTGTAAACAGAACGAAACAACAATCAGGTAGACTTCAGCGCGAGATAACTTACATCGTTATCTTTGCAACACAATAAAAACCTGTCTGCTCGAAAATTTGAGCCAGCAGCATGAACGACATAAAAGGAATTGGTTATACTTTATTTTAACTTATCTCATAGTTTTTTAAAAATATTGCACAACGATTTAAACATGATTTCAAGGACAGGGAGTTTCCCTTTATCTTTATAAAAGTATATAACTTATTAAATTATAAATGTTTAAAATCATCACAGGAAACTTCATAAAGAGCACTATATATATTTTAATATACATAATTTTAACTGAAGCTTTATTGCTTACGAATTCAATCAAGCGAATTTACAAATTTCTTTGTTCAAGTATGGTTGAGTTGAGTAATTACATGTCACATTAAGTTATTAATAAAAGCCTTCGAATGTTGAGAGCAAACTTTGACAGATAAAGAAAGCTGAAAGAGATCAAAGTTAGACCATGATTTATATCACCATTTGTAAAATTATTCTTTGCGTTTGATAGCTAGAAGACCAATGCTTCTATTTATTACAGTCGATAAGTTTTGTAACAGAACTAAAGAGCCTCAAAATATTGCTGAAAAGAGAAAAAGGATTTCAAGAATATTTTATCAAATATAAAGTTGTACTTTTAAAAGGCATGCTTTATTGCTAGATATGTCTGCAAATAGAATTTAATTCAGTTGTTTTCTCAATGTTTTCGTTAATTCTGGTTTATATAAAAACTGTTATGTTTATAGGAAAAAATTCGTGGCAAGATTTTAGGTTGGAGTGCTCTTAATTTAGGTTAGAGTACTTTGCTTCGTTGACCATTTTCACAAAATTTGGCATCATTGCTAAGCAATTATAGTAGAACGTAGATATTTAACAATACAGGACATTTAACGCAAATCTCAGGAGTTAATACACCTTGCCTCAAAAATAATGCTTTTTTTATTCAATTTAACTCGGAAATGCAGCAACAACGACGAAGATTCAATATCTATTTACTGCAGCATGAAACGTTAAATTGACAACGTCACCCTGTATGAATGTTCATCTAAGATATTCACATTTAAGTATAAGATAAATCACCATAGAATGCTTGCACCTTTGAAGACATAAATAAGTATATGACGAAAGGGAAGACGCTTACATTATCTCTTCGAAATATTTCTTAAAAACTTGCATACAGTCCCTAAATTTACATTACCTTTTGAAGTCATTTTATGAGAATACAGAAAAGGACAGTATGAAAACATTCAATTCAAAGAATTTTAACTCTATATTACTTTCTGACTTCAGTCTTCTTGATTTATATAATTTCTCCTAATTTCCTTATAGCAACACCTCTATATCTTAATCTTAATTCCACACTTTCAGTGATATTTGATTTTTCAGGCAATTTTAATATCGTTTTTACAAACTTTTGAGCCGTTGTTAAAGCAGGATGTAACGGTCATTTTGCAACAAACATTTAATATTGACATTTTCACTTTAATTTTCATCTGCTAAGTTGATGCTTCCAACTACTACCGCACCATTTACTTGTCTTTGTCAAGTGAAAAAATGACCCAAAATTTCTTAAGCTATGATTAATCTCCGTGTTTGAATAGTTGCCGAAGTCGAAACTTGGAATGTTGATTCTGATCTGTCTTCAGCCCTCTGCAAACACATTTTAGTAAAAGAGTTGGAATATTGTTACATACACCTTGATTATGTCTTTAAATAAAGAAGCGAATGAAGATACAATCTTACTTTCCCACTGACGAGTTGTCATGGAGTTTTGGAAACGAGAATATCCTGGAAAAGAACGATAAAGATCGCTTGTTGCTGAGTCGAAGCAAAAATGGTTAAAGCCTCTCTGATCCAAACATTCATGAAATATGCTACAAGACGAGTCTCTGCTTACTCTCTATTTTTCCACGCTCGAACTTTTGTTGCTCTTGTACCAAAACTAGAAGTATGCTAGCTTGCATACAGATGCTAAAACAGACTTCTAAAACACCGTCTTTTAAAAGACGTGTGAATTCAGTATTCGTACTGTCAATGTCGATATAGTAAATCTGGTTTTAGCATAGAGCTTGTTAATGGA